AAAAATTAGGGAAACCGAAGGATGGGAATAAAATATTCCTTGAGAAAAAAACAAAGCAGGTAAATAAATTAAGGTTAACTGATTGAAAAGCCTTATTTAAAGAAATCATAAATGGGTGAAAATTGACTGTAATGTAAAAGGAAGAAAGAGATATAGGAGGTAGAGACAGGTATGGAAGGTAAGAAAGAAGATAGATATAAGAGAAAGGGAAAGGTAAGAAGGAAGAAGAGAGATATCAAGGCACTGAAATGTATGGAAGGTAGGAATGAAGAGACAGATATATAAGACTAGGAAAGGTAGAGGGTACAAAGGAAAGAAGAAGGATATAGGAGTCAGAGAAAGGTATATAAGGTAGAAAGGGAGATGTGAAATATAATGTACAGAGAAGGTATGGAAGGAAAAATAAGCAGAGATGCAGGGGCCAAGAAGAAGTGAGATATAGGACACAGAGACAGGTACAGAGGGTAAGAATGAAGAAGCGATATATAGGAGGCAGAGAAAGGAACAGGGTGTAGGAAAGATGAAGTGAGACAGGTGGCAGAGACAGGTACAGAGGGTCAGAATGAAGAAGTAAAATATAGGAGGCAGAGACAGGTACAGAAGGTAGGAAAGATGAAGTAAGATATAGGAGGCAGAAACAGGTACAGAAGGTCAGAATGAAGAAGTAAAATATAGGAGGCAGAAACAGGTACAGAAGGTAGGAAAGATGAAGTGAGATACAGGAGGCAGAGACAGGTACAGAGGGTCAGAATGAAGAAGTAAAATATAGGAGGCAGAGACAGGTACAGAAGGTAGGAAAGATGAAGTGAGATACAGGAGGCAGAGACAGGTACAGAGGGTCAGAATGAAGAAGCGATATATGGAACGCAGAAACAGGTACAGAAGGCAGGAAAGATGAAGTAAGATATAGGAGGCAGAGGAATCTCTGGGCGATGAAAGGGAAAATATATAAGCAGAAATGGTGTACGGTTACTGACCGCAATATATTGTGATAATCAATAATTCATGAATCTATAGAGAAAACAACTAATGTAACCTTTTTTATAATATAAATAATAGATAGCTGGCATGGATCAAAGAGTCCAACAATACAACCCTGTCAGAAACTGAATATTAGTCCATTTAAAAGATGTTTTACTACAAAAATTTTTTACAAAAACAAAAGAGTGAAAATGGCAGCTTAAGACAACTTTAGTATCGCCCTTTTAATATGGCACGACCTAAAATCACTCCCACCCACCATTGTTCAAGATTGGAACATCGTAGACCATGATTCACAGCAACATTTTATTGTCCCCGAACCATCACTGCTAAAAGCTTTTACATGTGACCGTTACAGAGCAATCATGGCTGAGCTCTCTTCCAGTTACTTTTACACAGCCATTACTTGACAGAAAATTTTCCTTCGGCTAGAAGTTAGCTGATTCAATTTAATGAGCTTTGCTCCAAAAAACCTAGATCACCATTTTTTGAGGTTATCAAAGAAAATTTGAAACAATGTTCTCCCAAAAATCCATCTTGACTACACTTACAGAAGAAAAATATTGCCGCAGGATTATATAGCACAGGGAGACAAGACAGTCTGTTGTACTAAAATTGTAAACACCTAACAAATTTTGTCTGCTTGCCAAAAGGAAGTTCACACCAAATGAACCATGATAAGTTTCATTCATATGTGTAATGAAGGGAGATCAATGACTTTGGTCATCTACAATATTGATGAGTTTGTCGAGATATCTGTAGGCAGAACAATTTCAAAGTATGCATCAGTAGCACAGAACTGATCAACAAAAATAATCAATATTTTATTACATCATTATCGAAACAAAGAGGCACAGAAGGCCTGTATTGCTTAACTGGATCTTTATGACCGACAGTACTTTATCTGTGCATATGTTCCAGGTTTAACACATTTGACCCCTGTGACTTTGACTATTGGTCAAGGTCATTTCTTTTTGCAAACTTTCTTGGACTTCATAAAAGGAACATACTGGCAAAACATAACGATTCTTTGCTTTTCGATATTTCAGAAGATTTTGTTTAAACGTTTTAACACATTTGACCCCTGTGACCTTGATGATTGGTCAAGGTCATTTCTTTTAGCAAACTTTGTAGGACACCATATGAGGAACATAGTAGCCAAATATAATGATTCTAGGCCTTCATGTATTTGGGGAGAAGTCAATTAAAGGTTTTAACACATTTGACCTCTGTGACCTTTAATATGGGTCAAGGTCATTTCTTTTCGCAGGCTTAATTGGGTTTCATCAAAGGAACCTTCCAGCCACATATAATGATTCTAGGCCTTCCAGTATTTCGGAAGAAGTCGTTTAAAGGTTTTACCATACTTGACCTCTGTGACCTGGAATATGGGACAAGGTCAATTCTATTCACAAACTTTGTTGGGCTTCATCAAAGGAACCTTCCAGCCATATATAATGATTCTAGGCCTTTCGGTATTTTGGAAGAAGTCGTTTAAAGGTTTTAACACATTTGACCCCTGTGACCTTGAATATGGGACAAGGTCATTTCTTTTAGCAATCTTTGTTGGGCTTCATCAAAGGAACCTTCCAGCCATATATAATGATTCTAGGCCTTTCAGTATTTTGGAAGAAGTCATTTAAATGTTTTAACACATTTGACCCCTGTGACCTTGAATATGGGTCAAGGTCATTTCTATTTGCAAACTTAATTGGGCTTCATCATAGGAACCTTCCAGTCAAATATGATAACTCTACACCTTTTGGTATTTCAGAAGAAGTTGTTTAAATGAAAAGTTGACGGACACAGGACGGACGGATGACGGATGCCTTGCTATGGCATAAGCTCACTTTGCCCTTTGGGCCAGGTCAGCTAAAAATAAAGAGGAGATAATTCTTTTTTTAATACAGTACATATTTATATTAAAAATTAAATCTTAATTTATCAGAAATTTAATCTTAATGGCTCTGTCAAATTTCAAAGTTTGAAACGGACATCAGAACCAGCTCAGTCCAATTGATGAAGTCTAGCAATATCTTCTGGGTAAAGTTGTATTAAAAATCTGAAAAAATAAAGATGAGTAAAATATGTTCTTAATAATTTTCACAGGAAACTGTCTAACCTAGCACCCTGTGATACACAATACACTTTCATTAAAGAGGATTGGTTTTATATTGCTACGTTCCATAAAATGATGTCATATAAGGTGTTACACCTTACCTTGTACTTAACAATGGGCAAACCATTCCTTAGACTACCACAAAACAGGGACTTAGAAGTAACTATCAATTATAAAGACTACAGACTTGGCCAGAGAACAACAGAATTATTGAAGGGACAATTAATAAACTAATCTTATCTTTAATTAAAAGTAGTACCAAACCTATACATATCAAGACAAAATCTTGCTTGTAAATAAATCTGTTGGAGGAACAGGGCGATGACATGGCAATATAACTCTTTCTCTATGTTATGATTTACCTAAATACATTGCATACAATAGGTTCAATCTTTCAACATTCTTACCCAACAGGGATTTTAAGATTTTTTCACATCAATTTACTGTGTCTCCGTTTGGAGTGGGACTTGTAATTCATTTTACTCACTCTCGCTTCTGATTGGAAGCCATTTTTGTTGACATTCTCAAGACAGGTTTGCGCATACCAGTTAGGTCAAAGTGCCTTTGTATTTGCACATAAAATGTCGGTTGTATTGTTAAGAATTCTTTACAATTAATCTAAAAGAATATGGAAAGTAAAGTATTGTGCTAATATAAGGACATGCATAGTTCACAAGAATACTGAACTACAATTCCATGAAAGATTTTTTGACATGAAAACTAATTTTCCCTTTACTCTAGGCCAGGGGATAGCAGAATCGTTGATCTAGCCTAAATGTCAGATTATGCAGTGATCAAATTCAACAGGTTTACATGAACCCTAATCACTTTTTGAAAATGATACTTACCTACTTCAAGATCTTAATCAGAAAAAATTATTTGAATTTGTCCCATGAATATACCATAACCCCACAGTCTACTGAAGACAGCTGAATGCCAAATGTGTCAAAGACAACAGACTTAGCTAATAACCAAAGTGTCTAATACTTCTCAACACTGTAAGGAAGATTGTAAATCTAATCCTCTGTATGTAAAGTACACTGTTTATTTGACTCAGATCTTGGGGATTTCATAGAAATCTCATAGCTGTCAGTCTTCTTGGTTCTACCACAGAATGTGCCTGTATTGTTAGTTTTCAAACCACTCAGATGTAAAACAGCTGATGTATGAATTTTTTTCCTTTGCACAATTTAATAAATATATCATATAATATCCCATTTTGCAGTGAAAAACAAGGCCCAATGGGCCTGTATTATTACTCAAGTGTTCTGCAGTTTTTGTAAAGAAATGTGTACCATTACATTAAATTTGAAAGATCCCTTAGTTCCCCTACTAGAAAATGAAGCAAGGTCACAGAAAATGACTCATACATTTATTGATAGAAAGCTGAAAAAGATGAAAATTTATTTATTAGAATTGGAGTATTTGATAAATTTAGATTTCGTTAAAGTTTACCACAGGTGACCTAACTCCACTTCCCCACCTGACAAAGTTTCCACAGAAAACATCAAACAATAACCTCAAATAGTTTTTAAAGAGAATACATGAAGTCAGCTATTTGATTTTTACAGAAACAGGAGTCCTATCAATAACAATTTTATGAAATTACATGTTAAATCAATTTCTGGATCAATATGGTGAAACTGATACCATATTTATCCTGTAGTAAGCCCAGTGGGGCAATATATCAACACTGTCTCAAAAACAGGGGTTGGGCTTATTACAAAACACAGATATCGTATTTTTTGGTGATGCCACTGAAAAGCAATGGATATGAATGGCTTATTCCATTAACAGGTATGAGATGAATGCCGCATAAATATGGAAAGTACCAAAATACAAATATTGAAATGTCTGACAGGCAATATAACGTTTACTCCAACTTGACTGAAACACTTACCTGTGAGCAAAGTATGGACAACTCGTGGACAAATGTCATCGTAATTTGACATCAGGTATATCGCTCCATACTTGAAGCAGATGGCCAGGACATGGTTACTATCTATAGTAGAAGAAGCTGAAAGACACAGAGAACACATTACTGATATTTACGTAATCAAAACTAATCAATAAACACTAGGTTATTATATAAGCATACTTTTGGAAACGATTTCATAAATTTTGGAAATAATAATAACAAGAACATTGGCCTGTATCGCTCACCTGGTTTAATTTTCTAAAATAGATTAATTTGAACCATAAGGAAAAGTATGCAAAAGTTTGTAAAAAACTGAGTTTTCTTCACCCAAGGATGCTTCAGGAGAAAACTGAATCATTCCAACACAGGAAAAATTTCAAAGAATTTGCTCTATTCCACTAATGAGCCCCACCCCTTCCATCCCTGAGGCCACAACCCACAGATTTTACATAATCAATCCTAAGCATATCTCGGACCAAATTGTGACAGAATCCAGACAATCCTGGAAAAGATGTAGGATTTTAAAGAGTGAGGTCTATTTCTACTATTCCCCAGTGGTCCAAGACTCACCACTTATACAAAATTTCTACTTTTAGGCCTCAAGGTCAACTGTATACAAAATATTGTTTCCCCTTACCCTGAGGATGCTTCATACCAAACTTAGGTAAAATCTGCTCAGTCGTTCATGACTAGTAGCGATTTGTATGAAAAGATGATGGACGGGTGGATGACAGACACAACTATATCCCTATAGCTCACTTTCTCCCTTTGGGCCAGGTGAATTAATAAAAGTTTAAAGATTTTTGAGGAATGATTTTTATTTTTTCAACTTTCATGAGGCCATAAGAATATTGAATTTCTTGACATAAACCATGAACAAACTTTTTTAGCATTACAATACATAGTCATGAGGCAAATGTTGCTATGTATCTATGAATGACATTTTTGCCAGGTGTTGCATGAGCAGCCAAGGTGATTTTGTTGTGGCGTCTCCTTGTAGTTGCTAGTGGCTTCCTCCCTGAACAACATACTGGAGGCTGACTATACTGTCAAGAGCAATTAGATAAAAGGTCTTGCCTAAGGGACACATCACATTAGCAAAGACTGGTCCATTTCTCAGAATACTGGTTAGGAAGGTTGAATGTAAATATTTACATATGAAGAGAAGACAAGACAAAATAACAAACGAGACTCATGATAAATGCAACATAAAACTTTGTTGGTGATTGAAGTTTTGTGTAAAGCTGTCAGTATTGTGGCACAATCTATACAATTAACCAGTGTTCAAATTTAAAACGTCTCACAAATGTGTTGCAGTATCATACCTTCCGAGGGATGGCTAATATTCTCGGTGTTGTTACTTTTGGCGTCGGATTCATCCATGTTGAACTTCTCACATGACCATGCCATGGTGCTTATCTCCATGCTGTCATTTATGACCACCTGTGTCAACATTGCTCCAGTGGAACTCATCACTATCAGCTGTCCGCCAGTCGTACCGAATATCACCTGAAATCACAGGTAGAATGTGTCAATAACAAGATGAAATATAGCCTTAATGTTCACATACGTTTTATTTCTATTACAGTCATATAACATGTTTCATCCACTGATGGCAATTTGTTTAGCTGGCTTGGATTGACGAGAACATGAGGTCTTCCTGTAGCAGGAAATTTAGTACCATTGGAGATCTCACAGAGTTCATAAGGTGAAACCAAACTTTTAACGTCTGGTCCCTGGATGCTTAGAGGTGAGAGGATGAACAACATCTGTTTCTCAGTAGAACTTAAGAAAAGTTTAAGTAGAAAGAAGATTTTCAAGAATAATTTGAATTTAAGAAGCTTCTTGTTATATTGACACATCTAGCATAATTTGCTTGAAATTTGGTCAATATTAAAATTAATCTTTTTACTGACCCTATTTTCCCTGCATAACTCATGTCAATGCTGCCTCCTGGCCGTGAGTGTATATATAGACATAACCCTTAGAAACAATAGCCCTTAAATTTAACAAACAATAGCTAACATGTAGCTTTGTCTTTTTATGGGTTTTTAGGAGACATTTTCTGAAAATATCATTTTTAATAAAGAAGTGAGCATGTAGGGGCTCAAGTATAATCCTGAACCTTACATTTTTTTCTTCTGAGCTAAATCTATAGTCAAGGGTGACCTTTGACCTTTAACCTTACTCTCAATAATAAACTTGAGTTAAAATTTAGTTTTTGGAAGGAGTTCTACCACAGAGATGACACCCTAGTATCTGTATTGACCAAGAGATGGTAATTATCTGACTGATAACAGCACTTTCAGGCCCCCACCCCTTCCCAGGAGATCTCACAACACAGAATCTATGATTCGTGTTGCAGGTGTCTATACAGCAAATCAGATTATAGAAGTCTGGAAGATTATATTTCCATAACTTTGATGTAATTGATTTCTTGACATTGCCTGATGAAATCATCTTTAAACCCAGTTTATGCATCAATACTGTCTAGCATTGATGAGTGATATGCTAGACCACAACCATTCTCAGAAAGAATTGTTCCATGGCAAGTCTTCTCAAGTGAAAAGCTCCCAAGATAACAAGAAATTGTTAGCTAACAATTTGATGGGCTTTTCACCTTTAATCGATGACCTAGAGGCTTTATGATTTCAAATTAGAACTTGTTTGCATATTTTGATGACAGCCCTGAGACACTGTAGTGTTTAATTTGCTTGATATTTGCCGACAGCCCTGAGACATTTTACAGTTTAATTCCTCCGATATTTGCTCACAGCCCTGAGACATCTTAGTGTCTAATTTACTTTATATTTGCTGAAAGTCTTAAGGCATATCAATTTTTTTGATATTTGCTCACTTAGTGTCTAATTTAATTTATATTTGCTGAAAGCCTTGAGGCATATTAATTTTTTTGATATTTGCTCACAGCCCTGAGACATCTTAGTGTCTAATTTAATTTATATTTGCTGACAGCCTTAAGGCATATCAAATTGTTTGATATTTGCTGACAGTCCAGAGGCACCTTAGTGTTTAATTTATCTTATATTTGCTGACACCAGCTCACCATTTTACTGATGACTGACGACCACACACTGCATAACACAGCAATCACTTAACTCAAAATAACTTGCCAACAATTTTTCATCAATATTGTACACAGACAGCAATCTTTTCTGTGTGCCACAAATGTCACCTTGACACCTCCAACCAAAAGAGTTCTAGATCCTGTTCCATCACAAATCATCTCATATTACAGACAATGTATAACAAGCTTGTGTGATGAGTTTTCACACGTCTTACTTTGGAAATTTCATCTCACAAATGAAATGTTAAATTTGTTTATAGGGCTCCATGACTCTGAGAGTAAATCTTCCTGAGTTACAACAGTTTTAGATTAAAATGGGAGAGAACACAGCTAATTACTCTAAGACTTCTGATTTATTTAACTTTTACCTAGAATTTTACTCTAAATTTATTATTATGATTGCGACATTTAAAATGTATCAATCACAAACAAAATGCCAAATACATCTGAACAACATATAACAAACTTATCTCATATCTTATCTATATCTCACAACAAACTGTATAGAGTTGCCTTGATAGCCTCAGATAGTGGGAACTTTCCTTTACTAGCAGTAGAGTGTCTGGCTAAAGCCAGAATGCTCGCTTGTTCAAACCACTGCAGAGGCAGGGTATTTTTCATGACTCCTTAATAAAACAGATAAAGTGCTGACCAATCCAAGGAAAGAGGGTATAGGAGAAGGAGGTGCCTCCCTAGAGAAAATGAATCTGGGTCAATGTTGTCTTCAGGACTGAAGACTTTGTAAAGGAGGGAGTATAAGTGTAAAAGTTGAGAATACAGATCACCTGACTTGTCATGGCTAGTGAAAATTTCCCTTTAGTGGAGTGGTACTGTTTAGCTACAAAACCATTTATAGAAAATTATAGACTTACTCTCTTATTCAAATATCTTCCTGCAAATTCATCAAGTAAGTTTAGAAACAAAATCTCAACAATTATAAAAAAAAAGTATTGTGGAAGCAATTTCTTGTAAACTTTCCAAAACATATACGATATGGCTCAAGTTTACACCAAGATTTTGTTTGTTATTTTACACCCTGGTGCCACTCAGTTGTATGAAGACTGTGTTTATGTTTGATGTGGCCACTGGGTCATATGAAGACTGTGTGTATGGTTTGTGGGGCCAATGGGTTGTATGAAGACTGTGTCTATGGTTTGTGAGGCCAATGGGTGGTATGAAGCCTGTGTCTATGGTTGGTGGTGTTAATCATGCTTTTATAGTGCCATCATACTACTTAACAATTTGACAACCCATCTGGTCACATTATACTGACAACAGTAAAATCTATTTTTGTGCATCCTATTCAAAGTTGAACGACCAGCATGGAGCTTCAGGTACCATTTTAAGGACTTTGATGTGCCATTGATGACTTTGAGATAGAATTTCCGCACATTGATAGACACCTGACACAAAATGGTGAATATAGTGGTAGTGAAACAAGCAGACACCAAGACATTATGGACAGAAATAGCTGCCTTCATTTCACATTATCAGATGGGCTATAACTACTGCAAATGACATTAGAGGTTTTAGAGTTTCAGAAACAACTCTATCCTCTTTACCAACCTAAATTAAAACCATGTATCTCAAATTTCAAATTTGCACTCCTTTCAGCCAAGTTTTCAGAAAAACATTTTCTCAGTAAACAATCACATTTATAAAACAAATATTCTCTACTTCAACAGCAAAACAGAACAGCTCTAAAGAAATGTCACTGAATTAATAAAATATTCATAGACTGTGCTTCATCACTGACCTAATTATTCAAACAAAATTGTGGTGAGTTTTAGTTGCATTTCTGATCTGAGTTATCAATCAGTTTGAATTCAGATAGTGCCAATGAACTCATTAGATATTCATAGATAACATCCATCTTTTGTTACAAACAAGAAGAAAACATCACAACGTTATCATTTTTACTTTACAGAATCTCACACAAGAGACTAGCCTTATATGTATAAATGTTGTAGAGTTTTAGTGTTAAGAAAATTTTGATGGACCAATTAAAGCAAAAAGCAAAAGACGGAAAGAAGAAGGACAGACAAATGGATTACATATCAATAAAATTAGTCAGGTGGATAGACAGAACTGACAGACAATAGAAACAGATGGATAACATCATAACAAGTGAAATTTAAAGATAACTGCAAAAAGACTCAAATTTATCACTGGTGGACGGACAACTAACAGAGACAAAAAGACAGACAAGAATGAACAGACAACTAACAGAGACAAAAAGACAGACAAGAATGAACAGACAACTAACAGAGACCAAAAGACAGACAAGAATGAACAGACAACTAACAGAGACAAAAAGACAGACAAGAATGAACAGACAACTAACAGAGACAAAAAGACAGACAAGAATGAACAGACAACTGACTGATTGATAGGTAATGAATGTCAGGATATCTTCCATGATGGTATTTCAACATATTGCAAATTGGAAAACTTCTGTTCAGTCAAACTTTGACCTTCATCGTTAAACTCTATATTACTTTGACAAGGTAAATCAGCTGTTTTCTTGGGACTCAAATTCTTGTTTATGTGGGTTCATTTTTTGTCCTTTCTTTTGCGATTTGATTTCCAGTATACCTTGATTGATATATACTGATACCAAGTGAGTATCCACAAAATGAATGAAAATAATAACCCCACAAAAATTAATGACTTCACAGTAGACTCTATTTCAACCTTCCATTGCAATTACTATGTAGTGAAATATGTATTTGTTATCATGATAATGTAATTTCATAAGAGAGATTAAGACAACAGAAAGTTTAAATATTGCAGAACACTTTTCTTGTATACACCAATTTTATTGTACATTGAACAAGAAATTATGATTCAAGGTTTTTATACCTTCTTCACTTTTCGTTCATGGTGTCATGAATTGTTGTACACTTATGCAGTAAGATCATGTTAACAGTAAAGACCATTAACGAATGATAATCCACAAAAAATTTTTGTTTATATATTTTGCCCCTGGCTCCAGTCTAACGTAATCCCTAGGTTCCATTAATTATGAGTGTCAAATGGGAAGTTTGTTAGTAAAAATTTTAATTTGGTGAGGTTTACAACATCTGCTTATATAAATGCCAAATTCAAAATAGTGTATCCATTGTCTTACTTACATTATTGTCACTAATTTTTGAGGGAGATTTATTTTCAGTGATTTTGTGGGTACCCTTAATCTATGAATTCATGTCAATGAACTGTTAAATTTGTATAAGTAGATTTACTGAGCAATGCTAAATCTCCTTAAAAGAGTGAGTTTGAAAGACCACAAAAATTAAGTCCCACAAAAATATCTGATTTTACAGTAATAAATTGTTTATCAATTTATGAATCTTAATAACTTGTTTCTAAAGGATGGAACCCAAATCTGATAATACAAGTATAAATTGTTGTCATAAAGTCAATACCATCAAAATGGCATATGAAACCAGAATATTCATGTTCTTGTTAAATTTGTGTCCCTTAATTGGTATCATAGCATCCTTTGTCTCATCTATTTATTCACAAAAGAAGTCTGTCTTATCTGACGAGCTGTCAGACACAGATATGTCAGCTATGATAAAAATTGGATTCAATTGATATTATTTGGACGTTTTTGTTAGAAATGGTACTGACAATATCAAGGATGTTGAAAAAGTTGTATAAAACAAGTGATTAAAAAACAAGTAGGATGAAAGAGGTGATGAAAAAAAGTCAGAGTAATCAGGTCATGGAAAAGACAACTAAAATTATATTATAAAGTTGCATGTCCAATCCAACTGGCAATAAAAAAAAGTTTGATTAGACAGGAGATTAAAAACAGATCAGAAAGGAGATTAAAAACAGATTAGTCAGATTTCACTGTAAAGTAGTTCTTGTATATCATATTTACCTTCTGGTCATCAGGTGACCAAACTCCACAGGTGATGGTGGTGTTGTCCAAGTTTAGCATGGATGACCAATAGCGTTGTCCTGCTACTGACCCAACCAAAACAAAGCCATCACAATAGCAGATCAGAGCCATCCTCCCATCATGTGACCAGGCAAAGTCTGTTACCTGGAGATGAAAAACATAGCAAATGAGGATTGAAAATACAGGTTACCATCCAGCATATGATGCGCAAATTTGAATGTTTGCAGATTAAATTTTCTTATTATATATTCTTAAAATGATTTTGAATGTTTTTCAGCAAGTTGTAGTTTGTTACTAGCTAGATTGCCAAACAATAAGAAGTGTGTGTGGCAAATTAAAGAGTAATAATTAGATAAGTATATGTTCTATCGTAGTTTTTGCAGTATTGACAACTCATCTAATATCTCCAAGATAACCTGTTATCTACATTAAATAGTAACGAACCCTTTAACCCACTGGGTCTTCAAATAACCCACATTGTCAATCGGATACATGAGTAGTCCCAGTCAACCTATCTCTTGTTGTCTGTACTTGTTAGTACACTGTGATCAAACGTCTGATTGAAGTTAAACTTCATATAAAATATTTTGGAACTTGCAATTTATGTGGCTTAAACAAAGTGACAAGATCTAGTCTATAAAGTTAATTACAGACTACCTAGTAAGATATATATCGAAGTATGTGTAAGTATGCATTTGTTGCAATACATGTGTTTCTTCTTGTCAGAAAACAGCAATGTAATGATAGCATACCATCTTTAAGTTTTTGAAAATTTTACACAGGAAATATCCAGTATCATTAATAATTTGTTTCAAAGCATGTTGATCAGGTTTTTCCTACATTATTTGAAACAAGATTTGAACCAGACGTGGCAGACAAGGGTTGGTCAGGTGACACAGTGGTAAGGCACTTGCCTTTCACCTAGCCATCCGGGGTTCGATTCCCGGAATGGATGTGAAAAGGTATGAGGTCACCTGCCCAACCACGTGGATTTCCCTGAGTACTCCGGTTTCCTCCCACATTAAGAAGACCCCTCGCACTTCCATCTGAGCCAACAAGAGTGATTTATTTAAGTTGGAAAACTAGCTTCACAATTGTTGTAAAATAAATAAAGTTTATTATTATTATTATTACTAAGGTGCTACTTTTGATAGGGCTCTTTCATGTATTACACAGTGTAATAGGTTTCTTTCTCATCCAGGAAAAAAACAGGTGCAGCACAGCTTTTTGTTGAAATTCAGTAAAAGAGATATGGGCTAAGTAATGACAATTTGTCTGTGTATCCTGGGGTAATGAATCATTCAGTGTTACAAGCAGCTATTACATCCAGTTGCTGCTACAAGTATTATTTAATAGAGGTATAATAAAGATGCTATGAGGAAAGTACTATATACAATTACTAATATCAAGTGGATTTTATTTGTGTTCATGTTTTATGCTCCATGTCTGACTGGAAAATGTCCAGAAACTACCGTTGAAAATGTTGTTACGCAAACGACCCTTGTGCTGACTCTTCATCCATGTTTTAGCAGGTCATGACCAGACATTGCACTCCCAGAGGTTGCAAATGTTTTGCCATGAGAGTTACCTCCCTGGAACAGTTTCAAATAATGTCCCTTTCTGCAATTAAATGTGTTGTTCTGTGTAATTCTTTTATATGCCCTCTAATTCACTACATCTGATTACATGTTTCTGAGTCAAGGCAGAAATCCTATCTGTCCTCTTAACATTATCAAGACATAAATTACAGAAAATTAAAACAAGAATTCTTACAGATAAGAATTTCTGTTCTTAAATTTTACCAATAAGGTCACCATGAATGATTTTGGACAACAAATTAATTATTTCAAAGATAATGAAGTATTAGCATACTATAAGATACAGACATGATCTATGAGGAAGACATATCTTGTGACAAAGACAGTATATCATAAGGAAGATGTGACCTTGAGAGGAAAGTATGATGTTGTAAAGATGATATGACCTTGTGACGATGATAAGGCCTTGTAAGGAAGATATGACCTTGAGAGGAAAGTATGATGTTGTAAAGATGATATGACCTTGTGACGATGATAAGGCCTTGTAAGGAAGATATGACCTTGAGAGGAAAGTATGATGTTGTAAAGATGATATGACCTTGTGACGATGATAAGGCCTTGTAAGGAAGATATGACCTTGAGAGGAAAGTATGATGTTGTAAAGATGATATGACCTTGTGACGATGATAAGGCCTCGTAAGGAAGATATGACCTTGAGAGGAAAGTATGATGTTGTAAAGATGATATGACCTTGTGACGATGATAAGGCCTCGTAAGGAAGATGTGACCTTGAGAGGAAAGTATGATGTTGTAAAGATGATATGACCTTGTGACGATGATAAGGCCTTGTAAGGAAGATATGACCTTGAGAGGAAAGTATGATGTTGTAAAGATGATATGACCTTGTGACGATGATAAGGCTTTGTAAGGAAGATATGACCTTGAGAGGAAAGTATGATGTTGTAAAGATGATATGACCTTGTGACGATGATAAGGCCTTGTAAGGAAGATATGACCTTGAGAGGAAAGTATGATGTTGTAAAGATGATATGACCTTGTGACGATGATAAGGCCTTGTAAGGAAGATATGACCTTGAGAGGAAAGTATGATGTTGTAAAGATGATATGACCTTGTGACGATGATAAGGCCTTGTAAGGAAGATATGACCTTGAGAGGAAAGTATGATGTTGTAAAGATGATATGACCTTGTGATGATGATAAGGCCTCGTAAGGAAGATGTGACCTTGAGAGGAAAGTATGATGTTGTAAAGATGATATGACCTTGTGACGATGATAAGGCCTTGTAAGGAAGATATGACCTTGAGAGGAAAGTATGATGTTGTAAAGATGATATGACCTTGTGACGATGATAAGGCCTTGTAAGGAAGATATGACCTTAAAAGGAAAGTATGATGTTGTAAAGATGATATGACCTTGTGACGATGATAAGGCCTTGTAAGGAAGATATGACCTTGAGAGCAAAGTATGATGTTGTAAAGATGATATGACCTTGTGACGATGATAAGGCCTTGTAAGGAAGATATGACCTTGAGAGCAAAGTATGATGTTGTAAAGATGATATGACCTTGTGACAATGATAAGGCCTTGTAAGGAAGATATGACATTGAGAGCAAAGTATGATGTTGTAAAGATGATATGACCTTGTGACGCTGATAAGGCCTAGTAAGGAAGATGTGATCTTGAGTGGAAGGTATGACTTTTTAAACAATATGACCTTGTTTTGGGGATGTGATCATGTGTAGAAAATATTACCTTGTGTTACAGTTATTTACCTTGTGAGAATGACACAAAAGCAAAATATATGATATGTGTGTATGATATTACTTTGTATTAATTTTGGCAACCAAATGTTGACCAAACTGAAAATTACACTGCAGATCCTTGTGCATACATTGCAGAAATTGTCATTGTACAAATGGTAAAAAAAAGGCAGATCCTTACACTGAGTTTTACCATCTGTGGTTTATAAGACTCTACTGTTCTTCTACAAGACAAGGCAAAAACAGGCGATAACTAGGTCTTTCTTCATAAAATATGTATATGATGTCCCTGCCATCAATTCCAATTTAATGACTGTTAACTACTAGAGAGACAATGGCAAACGTAAGTGTTCCTGCTCACATCAGAGATCAGACACCTTAATCCTCCAGACGCGTGCTCCTGCAGCGTTTTACCCAAAAATAACCAGAAATTCTGCTAATCTAATGATACTTGGCATATATTGGCATACTGTCATTGTAATGGAAGGGATATCTCATACTAGACAGTCGCAAACAATGCGTGCTGCTTAGCCCTCCAGGGCCCCTTTCACTCCACACACTTATGGATGCATGAAAAACAAGCCTGATATAAGTGATATATACATACAACAGTCTCAGGAAAGAAAACAACTCAGACAGATGTACGGTTACCATTAACTTCAAGTTAAAGCCCCTCCAGCATACTGTTATTTTTATATCGGATTTGTTTGACACTTATGAAACCTTTGAGAGAAGCTACAAAGACATATTCATCAAGGACAAAACCTCATCACATGGCTTGCAGCATGAGATGTGTTGCCCCAACATAAGGTTCCAACACAGAACAATAAATCAAGCTGTCAAACTTCCATGACAGTCTCTATATATCTGTCTATTGATACGTAATTAATAGTACACAAAACTGTTTTCATTTTCTAGGAACAAGTTATTCTATTTTGATTATTTCAGTCCGCCAAGCTGTACAAATAGGTAGTGACATACTACGAAAGTTATCATAGTAACTTCTACGAGTTTGTCATGTACTATTCAGATACTGATATATCTAACAAACTACACTCCCAATTACATTATTGGATTGTAAATGAATTAAGGAAGAAACTTCCTTGGCTCTCTGCGTCATTATTCGTACAACGTTCTGAATTACTGGGAGTGTTCCATTGATTTATATGATAACTTCAAACCAGGAACAAGATATCAAGTTTCATCCAAAAGGTTCATACATCTTAAATCATGGCTAAAATGCTATGTAAAGACAGAAAAACAGCTCTTTCTGAGAGAACATTTACCTTAATGTTCTTTTGCCCTCATATGAAATTTTGATTTATGTCAAATTTTACAAGTTTGCTTGTTCAGAAAGATTTCTAAATGATTTACATTGATGTCACAGAGGTAGCATAACACCTTAAGGAAAGAACAAAATGTGATTGCAATTACCATCTGAATTCTGAGTCATTGAAAACATCTATTAGTTTTATGAGAGAAACTCTGTATTAAAGTGATACAGCTGCTTCATTAAGATTATAGAACAAAGGCTTCATTTTTGTTTGGGGACAATAAGATACAGTCATAAAATCTAGATTTAAGAAACATATTTCAAATGTCTGCAGGACATTTTGTCAATTGTCTCCAATACAAATCAAGACAAAGTGTTAATTTAACTTGATAATACAAAACAATAAAAATATCTCACCAATATTTCAAATTTAGAAATCAAATATCTGTAAAATTTAAAAACAAATACATCAGTGATAAGCAAGAAACTGAGTATTGACTACAGCGAAAATTTTATCTTAATTTTCCTACTATTTTCTCTCCAACCAATCATATTCTATTGACGATATCCTATCTTCAACATAGTCTTATCTCTTGTCTAAATGCAATTCCATAAAGGCCACATTTACACTGTGGTGTATATTATGACAAAGGCTGTGTTATGTTCCATAGTGAAGCAGATATCTGTAAAATATTTGTATCAACTATCTTAAAAGTTTGGTTATATATGTCCAATTGAATTTTAAAAGTAAATGATGTCATAACTCTGATTCTCAATGAATTCAATAACTTCAAAATGTAAATTTTAAAACAGAGCACAACATAACAATTAAAGATGACAAAGCACTCTAATTTTTAATTTTATCAAAACTTCCATTTAAAACTAGTAAACAATTTAACTATCCACATTTCAAATTACAGATCACTCAGTTATTCTCATTTCAAATTACAGATCACTCAGTTATCCACATTTCAAATTACAGATCACCAAGTTATCCACATTTCAAATTACAGATCACTCAGTTATTCTCATTTCAAATTACAGATCACTCAGTTATCCACATTTCAAATTACAGATCACCAAGTTATCCACATTTCAAATTACAGATCACCAAGTTATCCGCATTTCAAATAACAGATCACTCAGTTATCCACATTTTAAATTACAGATCACTCAATTATCCACATTTCAAATCACAGATCACTAGTAAAATGTAACAGATTACAATACATCTCCTTCCTCACACAAAGTCTGTTCTGGCAACACCAGAAAGTGCATAAAGCTGTATTCCACTTTCAAGACCAGTCAAAAAACAATTTTCTCACATAAGAGACCAATGGGAACTCTAGAAGTCAGGTTTCCTAAGTGTTACATTTTTTCCTTGTTGTCAACCTGTTTCAGGATTTACGTCTCTTCTGTTTAATTCATTCACTTTGAAGGGTTTAACGTATAAAACACAAATCATCTCCCAAGCTAAAACTTATGAGAAGAACCACTACAAATAAAAGTACTTGTTGCATTAAGATTTTTTCTTTTTAAATTTTTAGAGATTCTTTTTTGTCAATAAAAATCCTAATCTAGTGGGTCTGATGAAACATGTTTTCCAGACAACTTTTATCAATAGTAAGTCGTATGACAAAGTGTTGTGTTTGATGAAACATGCCTACCTACCAGACAACTTCTATCAATAGCAAGTCGTATGACAAAGTGTTGTGTTTGATGAAACATGCCTACCTACCAGACAACTTCTATCAATAGTAAGTCGTATGACAAAGTGTTGTGTTTGATGAAACATGCCTACCTACCAGACAACTTCTATCAATAGCAAGTCGTATGACAAAGTGTTGTGTTTGATTACATAAGTAACATTAGTACTAACTAACCTGTTAATTCAAATGAAGAGTTCTACAGAGCTTCACATCAAGGTAAAAGTCTACACCAATTTAATTATTTCTGTAATGTCTAATATCGACCTTTATATCATGTTTAATTGCAAGTACCATCTGTAATGTTTAATATAGACCTTTATATCATGTTTAATTGCGAGTACCATCTGTAATGTTTAATATAGACCTTTATATCATGTTTAATTGTGAGTACCAAACAGAACATGTCGGTCACTGATGATTGCTACAGACCTTCATATCATGTTTAAAATGTGTACCAACCTGACTATTTCTGTCATTGATGAGTTCTATTGACCATCGTCCTTCATGTTTGATCCACACAAATATCACACCCTGAGAGTCACAGGTAGCCAGCTTCTGATACGGTTCATTCCAGCGCACCAAGATCACCTGTCAAGAGAAGATAACTCTAATTGATATATAATCCTCATGACAAGTCATGACTTTCTGCTCTAAAAGTTGCCTTAATATTTAAATACTGATTTAATTCAAGTACTTGTGCTCTGAGTGACCTTTACCACATTTTCCTCAAAATAAAATGTTCGTGATATATATGACTTGTTCATCAGCTGAAATTCGAAGTATTCGGGAAGGAATACGAAAGGACAAGCCACTTATCTAGCAATATGTAGTACAAATTTCAAATTTCCTTTCAGTTTAACGGAAGAAGATTTCTTCTTCCTAAATATTATGGATTTGGTGCCATCAATCACTGTATATGTAAGTTTTAAGATATCTAGATGGAGGCTGGTCAAAGAGTTTTGTTTGAGTTAAAGAACCTGGATTTTTGTGACTGTCTTTTGGCTCAAATCTATGTGAAAGTAGGAGCAGTATAAACAAAATTCAGAACAGTCATCTTTCTAGCTTTGTTCCAAATTGGAGGGCCTGGCTGGTTAGAGAGCAGGAATTTACTTATTTTCTAAACCTCCTAATGCTGCATTTGATTTTGGAGACAAAAATTCTTCATTTTAAAGATCAAAAGTAGCATGTATCACCATTCGAGACATGAAAAAAAAACAGAAACAAAATTAGTGTTAGATAACTCCAAATACACCTGATAAAAAATGACTGCATTGCAATTAAAAAGCAGTTTAATTTTGAGGAGCCAGTATTTGGCAGTTGCAGTTTTGGGTTACTACACACATGGTAGGTGGGTACATGTTAGAAATACTGAATCTTCTCATACTGAAACCTTATTTTTTTTAATCTTCATTTTGCCAATGATAGTTCATGGGGAGAAAATTTTGCATATGTCTTATACACTGGTACTCATGGATACAGGAATATGACAAAATGTTTCCTAAGATAATGATACAATGTAAATTGTTTGCAGGGTATGTAATTCTGAGCAATCTTCAATGACAGCAAATGTTGCCAACAATACAGATGTCCTGAACATAATGAAAAAAAAAGATATGTTATCACAGAAAATTATTTTAAAACCAGTCTTGGGAGGGAAAAAATGTCCTATACTTCATGACTTAGCATTTGTCGATCTCTGAACTGGTGTTATCTTATATAAACACATCCAACAGAAACGTGTTAAAGGCAGTACGCTGTTGGCTTACGTATCCTCATCATACAGTCACCATGACAGCCAACATGGAGATATTTGCATACACATATTTGGAAACACCATTACTTTGGTTTTAATCTGGGAAACCATAACAAAGATCTGAAGTCTCCTTGGCAACAGGTTATATCATTCAAACAGCAAAAATTATCTTTTCGATATTTTTAATCTTTTTCAATTATTAAAAGACACATATAAAGAAGCTAATCTTTCTTTCAGTACAAAAAATTCTGATCACTAATAATTCTAATCTTTCAGAAGAACATTCATTTCTTCAATCTGAAAACACACAGTTTTTTGTGAGTGAATTATTCTTAAGGAAACTAATGGTTTCCTGCAGATAAATTTCCTAATAACCTTTTGATAAAATCGTTATAAGCTGTCGCATTCACTTAAACACACAAACACAATGCTAACAACCTATCATAGTTATGTCAATGAAAAGTGTCCATTGATAATTTCCTATCACCCATCCTGTTGCATGCTGCCAAACAATTTATCAGATATAATCAGAACCAGTATTCGCTATCGTCATTGATTTGAAAGACTCCTCTACCGATATCCATTTATGGAAACGAACCTATCAAGTGTAATCGTCATTGCAAAGTGTGTGGGACAAATCACTTTTTAATGAGTTCATAACACAAATTGTCCAAATTTCCTCAACAATAAAAAAAAAAAAGAGGAAAAATATATTGGTGACCAGTTCCAATTGTTCAGATAATTGGTTGCAGGTAAGTTTCAGGAATCAAGTAATTTAAAGTGTACTAGGCTTGGTAAATACACATAATTCAGAAATGTAACACTCACTTTAGATAAATGCAGTCTAAACAATTAAAATATCAGATATGCTGGTGCAAATTTTAATCCAGCAGTCAAACAAAGGGCAATAACTCTGAGTAAGATTAAAAGTCATTATGTCCCTAGAGGCACTCCCATAAAAAAGTATCAGTTTTAGGTGACATAAAATATGATGTAAGTCTAAACTAGTTTTACACTGAGACTGGCAGACAGATTAAAAAAGACATAACTTCAACACCTACAGTTCCTTATGATAGTACCAATGGGAAATTACAGCGGTACCAGTCTTACATTCATATTGAATTGCTAGTAATGTGATAATACATCATCTATTAACAGTCATTACCACTTTCATGCAGACATATTTGAAGATTAAGAAATATTTAATGGACATGCTCAGAATCTGCATATCTGTATAAGGAACAGTTTAAATTGTGATGGTAATATTTGGTTAAAGATGGCGTTTATTTGGGGAGAGGAAGTAAAAGAACACAAAGTGAATTTTCAAAATGCATAGTAATGATACAGATAATGGAGAAAGATGATGGTGGTGATATATAGAAATCAAAGCACAGAAGGCACACATAAATGTTGTATATGATGGATTGAAATAAAGGAATGAAGAAAGTGGTATGAAATTATATTAAGACAAAAAAACTGAAGAAAGCACATGTCAAAATACCCTATTCGCCACGTACCCTTGGAATTTTTCATAACCATTTATTTGAACAAATGAATCAGTATTCAATACATAAATTCTTGCTCGTGATTGTGCACAACCAGAACTATCGCCAACCTTGAAATCATGATTAACCTTTATTAGCATAAACTACATGACAAAATCTACACATCACTTTGATCACATCTAGGTAGCTTTCCAACCCTATTTTATTTATTTAAGCAAAAACATCTTCCCCATTCTTTGTCATTTCTCGTCCATGATTATGAAAAGATTGCCACAATTTCATGGTACAACGCTGGTTCTAAACAAGTCAAGTATCATTTTGTAAAAAAAATGTTTTAATAAAATTTTCAATGAACAACATTTATTAATTTTAGAACTGAAATATTTTTCATTTACACATTTGACACATCATGTAAGAAATTAGCTCTTGAAGACTGAGAGCATGGATGTGTCAGTGAAAATGTTAAAAAACATAAAATATGGTATTTTATGAGGGAGAGGGGAGACATGGTTAAAGAAAGAGATGATGTGGATATAGAGAAGAGTGATATTGAAAGGGGAGGAATGTCACAGACAGAGAGGTGTGATATGGATAGGGAGAGGGGTGATATGGAAAGAGAGAGGGTGATATGGATAGGGAGAGGGGTGATATGGAGTGGGAGAGGGGTGATATGGATAGGGAGAGGGGTGATATGGAAAGAGAAAGGGTGATATGGATAGGAAGAGGGGTGATATGGAAAGAGAAAGGGTGATATGGATAGGGAGAGGGGTCATTTGGAAAGAGAAAGTGTGACATGGATAGGGAGAGGGGTGATATGGAAAGACAGAGGCATGATATGAATAGGGAGAAGGGCTATTTGGAAAGAGAAAGGGTGATATGGATAGGGAGAAGGGTGATATGAATAGGGACAGAGGTTCAATAGAAACAGTCAGAGGCTGGCTAAAATGAAAGTAGATCTCATACAAAATGGAAACTTGTGTAAGATATTAAGTCTGATGATATGTATCCAAGTCTTTGTGGGATTATCAGGAATAACAGTATATATAATATATACACATGATCAACTTGTTTGATAAAAATCAATTCATATATAAAACTATTTCTCCCCTAACTCTGCCTTACATTATCTGTACATGAAATAATTTCCCTTCTAATTTGACAGGAGTTGGATAATGTGACATACATGTATGCCCAAATGCCATTTAGATACAAGATCTGTCAATATCTAATTATAGGATTAGCTTACAAACAAATTTGATACTTTCATAATAAAACTTATCTGAAAATGTAATGTGTTGGTAGGTAAATGAATTTATTCTGATCATAATGAGCAGACACATGAAGCTACTTTTACTGATAAACAGTGAATGGCATCGTGATAACCTAGCTACATTACATCACCTAGCAACCAAAATTAAATTTTTGGTCCTCCATGGAAACTAAAATTAAGTTAGAGTGATAGATAATTGAGAAAAAGTTAATGAAGAGGGTTTGAAGCAATGAAAACATTTCCTTAATTCTCATCCAAATGTGCAAAAATGTTACAGCATAGATGTAGTGTTGGCTTGATTTAATAAACCATGTCTTAGAAATTCAATCGTAAAGCACTGCATGTGTAGGGTGTTACGCAGATTTCTCGTATGTTAGGATCGACATGTTCTCCAGGGAAAACAAAGTTTGCTGACATCTCTCTTAACACTGCATCTATATAAAAGCTGTGAGTGCTTATTTCTATTATATTTGTTGAGTCTATTATGAATATCTTTGCCTGCTGTTGAGTTTAATCTGTTCACTGTTTTTATTATCATTGCCTTCTGTTGAGTTCATTATCATTGTCTTCTACTGAGTTCATTATCATTGCCTTCTATTGAGTTCATTATCATTGTCTTCTACTGAGTTCATTATCATTGCCTTCTGTTGAGTTCATTATCATTGTCTTCTACTGAGTTCATTATCATTGCCTTCTATTGAGTTCATTATCATTGTCTTCTACTGAGTTCATTATCATTGCCTTCTACTGAGTTCATTATCATTGTCTTCTATTGAGTTCATTATCATTGTGTACTGTTGAGTTCATTATCATTGCCTTCTGTTGAGTTCATTATCATTGTCTTCTGTTGAGTTCATTATCATTGCCTTCTGTTGAGTTCATTATCATTGTCTTCTATTGAGTTCATTATCATTGTCTTCTATTGAGTTCATTATCATTGTCTTCTATTGAGTTCATTATCATTGTCTTCTGTTGAGTTCATTATCGTTGTATTCTATTGAGTTCATTATCATTGTGTACTGTTGAGTTCATTATCATTGTCTTCTGTTGAGTTCATTAT